CGTACATATCATATGTCCATATGCATATGCCAGTGCTTACAGTGGAGCGGCTCTGAAAAAAGCAAGAACCTGGCCTCCAGAGAAGGGAACTGTGTGGCTGAGAAGCAGGAGTGGAATTGAAACCTAACTTTTTGCTGACTGCTATTTTTGAACATTTTAGGTTTTTTGTTTGTGCAAATACTACCTTTCAAAAATTTATCAATTGAAACATTTATTTTGAAATATTGTCAGATTTTCAAGGAATTTGGAGCACATAAAGGCCTATTGGTATTGCTATTATGTTGAGTATCTAAATTATTCAACCCCAAAGAAGGCAAGAAAGGAGAAAAACACACACAAAGAAACAGAAAAAGTGAGTCAAATAGCATAAAATCTGATGGTAAAAGTAAATCTAAATATATCTGATAGCTAACTTTTGGATAATTTAATCAGTATTTCTTTCTAGTCTTTCTTCCATAACCTTTTCTAATCTTTCTAAGAAAAGAAATTGTCTTGTTTTTAACTTAGAGTTTTTAGGACTGAAAAGCATTTAAGAAATGTTCTTGTATAATTCCCTAATTTTGTGGGAGGATACTGAAGCCCAGGTTAAATGACACTGAAGATCACAGTGATTAAATTATTATTCCATTTGTCCCCTAGTCTCAGTCTTCATCCTTTCTTGACTCTGCTTTCTGCCCACAAGCTGACCTGTATAGACCACATTAACAAGTTCTGTTATTCTCTAGCTTCTAGGATTTGGGCCAAGCATCTTTACAATAAGGGCAAACAATGCAACTGGTTTTATGTGGTACTTATGAGCCAATATTTACTTTCTTGCTTTTTAAAAAAAATTGTACTATTCCCTGGTTGGATGGCTCAGTTGGTTTGGAGCATTGTCCCACACACCAAAAAGGTTCGGGTTCAATTTCCAGTCAGGGCACATACCTAGGTGACAGATTTGATCCCTGGTTGGGGTGCATATGGGCGGCAACCACTTGATGTTTCTCTCTCATATCCGTGTTTCTCTCTCTCTCGATCTCTCTCTCTCTTTCTTTCTCCCTCCCTCCCCCCCCCTCCCTAAAATAAGCTTGTGCTTCAGGCTGGCCTCCTACAAGAATGTTAAGTTGATTGAGATCGGCCATTATATGAATTGACACTGGGCATGGCTAGAACAGGTGATGTCGTGGTTTATTCTATGAACCCCATAGTGTGTGACTTACTCTACATTTTACCAGTTCAAATGAGGAGTCAAAACTTTATCTAATTTGCCATCCCTCTTGTTTTAGTATAATTATCTTAAATACTTTTTTTCATACACTGATATCCATATCAAACAGTGTTATAATATTTGCTTTAATGTTTAAGCAACTGAGAAACTAAAGGAAATAAGGGAAATCTGTTTCTATTACACTTACCCTATTTTACTCTGTTTTTTTTCCTAACCTTCCTAAGTTCTTTCTTTAATTTCTTTCTATTTAGAGTAATTCCTTATATTCTTTTAGAATAGGTCTATATAATAAATTCTCTTAGTGTTCCTTAATCTGAGAATGCTTGTTTTTTCTTTATTCCTGAAGGATATTTTCACTGGCTATAGAATTCTTGGTTGACAGTTCTTTTCTTTCAGCATTTAAAAAATGTTGTTGCACTTCCTCCTGGCATCCATGGTTTCTTAAGAGAAATCTACTGTCATCTGAATTTTTTTACCCCTTGTTCTTTTTAAGATTTTTTTCTTTGTCTTAATTTTCAGAAGTTTAATTATGATGTGTCTCGGCATGGATTTGTTCTGTTTGGGATTTTTTCAGCTTCTTGAATCTATAGATTTATATCTCTTACCAATTTGGGGAAGTCTTCAGCCATCATTTTTTCAAACACTTTTTCAGCCCTACTCTTTTTCTCTTCTCTTTCTATGACTTTATTGATGCAAATGTTAGATCTTTGGTTTTAGTTGTTCAGGTCCCTGAGGTTCTGTTCATTTTATTCCAGTCTGATTTCCCTCTGTTGTTTATAGTGTGTACTTTCTAGTGTTCTGTATGCCAGCCACTTCACTGAATCTTTCCTCTGTCCTCATTCTGCTATTAAGCTTATCCATCAAAATTTTAAGTTTGGTAATTTTGTAGTTCTAAAATTTTCATTTATTTTTTATATTTTCTCTTTCTTTGCTAAGATGTTCTAATTTTTTTTTACTTGCATTACAAGCATGTTTGTAATTGCTCATTGAAATATTTTTACGATGATTGCTTTAAAATCCTTGTCAGATGATCCTGACTTCTGTGTCATCTTGATGTTGGTGTCTATTTATTGTCTTTTTCCATTTGAAATTTTCCAGTTTCTCTGTATGGTAAGTGATTTTCATTTGAAACCTAGACATTTTCAGCATTATATTATGAGATTCTGGATCTTATTTAAATGTTCTGCTATAATAGGCATCCTCTGACAATGCTTCAGTGGGGGAAAGTGGCACCACCTAATTTCTGATAGGATGAGAGCTCAGGCTCCTCTCCCAAGTGCCTCTACTGGCACTGCAGGGCCTCATTCATTATAGCTGGGTGGTGAGGGAAGTGCTGACTCTACCAGGCCTCCTCTGATTCCATTCTAGCTGGGAGGGTGTGGGGTTTCTTTATTACTGTCTGGTGGGCATATGAGTCCAGGCAAATGAAAACAAGTTGGCAAAAATAAAACATGTTGATTGTGATTAAAATGTTATTTGAATATACCAATGTAAATAAATGAGTTGAATTTCCATTTAATTAAATAGCATTTTAGTTACTAAAAGACACTTAGTTCATAAGATAATTCAACTGCATGCTTTCTACATGAGATACATAGTTAAAGGAATCCAGCTCATGTTTCCCCAAGAGGCCCCAAGGTGACCACCTGTTCATCTACTTTCACATCTCTTCCTCGTATAGGGTGTGCTAGACCGTCATGTATGAAACCTGTATGCCACACTTTAATTTTTTTGTATGTGTTTGTGTTTTATTTCTTATTCTAGATAAGTTTCTTAAGGACTAAGAATGTATCTTCAGTTGTTATTTGTGTGTGTATGTGACCGTCAGTGTTTCTCAGACATTTCCAGGGCAGGGCTGGAGTTTCCTCCTCGTTGTTCGCGTTCCCTAGGGCACTGTCTTGGCAGCAAGAGTGGACGTCCTGGGAGAGGGCACACACGGGGCGGTAAGGCCCAGGTCAGGGAGCGGAACGCAGCACAGACTCCCATTCTGCTTTGTTCCATTTTGTTCCATTCCATTCCGTTGACAGAACTTAGTCTCCTCGTCACCGCCAGCGAGTGGGAGACTAAGAAAGGTAGGATCTGGCTGGGCTGCCACACACCTAGCCGCAGCTCTGTCTTGGTGGAACTAGGAGTCTCCACCAAAGCTGTGTTGATGGAACTTAAGTTATCTGGTGATTAGCCTGTAACTGTTATAAAAGAATTTGTTGGTTCTTTGCTATTGATCCTCTTATTTCTGTAATCTGGGTCAAATTCTTACTCATACCTTTCCCAAATGATGTATGTTCACCATTTTAAAACCTCTCCCAAATGCCTGTAATTTCTTCTTTAGCATTAAAATTGTTTTGTCTTTGAGAATATTTTTGTGCTCTATATTAAAGTAGCTCAGTTTTTACCTGGGTCTGTATACTGACATTTAATTATGAAAATTACATCTTGAAGCTGTATTGCTGCCTCCAAATAAGGTTATCTATCCCAAGTTACTTTTAATCTTACCCTGCACTTCTCTCTCTCTTTCTCTTCCGTCATTAAAAAGTCGTCAAAAACCCAGGTCTGTCCTGGTGGTTTCCATTCTGTGTGTCAGGTTTATAACAAACTCAGATATTTTAGTTACATCAGGGTGGTATAAAAAAAGAAATGAAAAGTTGTTATATGTATTACAGATATGAAGCAATATTCATTTTCTGAAAAAATTTTATTTCCGTTTTTTATTTCTCCACTGGAAATGATCACATTTTCAAGACTTAGTAAAACAGAAAATACGTAAAAGAAGTAACAAAATAGTTGCCCTTCTTTTGACCACTGATTCTGGCTGTCAGCTTGTTAAGGTCAATTAAAATCTGAAACTAATACCAAATAATTTTATTTTTATATGTAATGTAATCACCAGTCCTTTATTTTTCTTTTTTTATCTTTTTTCCTACCTATTCTAAACTTCTTTGGACAGTTATATCTTTAAGGTAGTTTTCATTAATGTAATTTTATTAACAGGATTGCATTTTTGTGTTTGTGCTTTAGTGGTTTTTAAAAACAAGTAAACCTAAAAGCAAAATCTTTATTTCTAAAGCAGCTGAAATATTCTCTATTCTTTTTAATTTTTTTTATTATTTTTTGTTAATCCTCACCTGAGAATATTTTTTCCATTCATTTTTAGAGAGAGTAGAAGGGAAGGATGGAGGGAGAGAGAGAGACATTGATGTGAGAGAGACACATCGATTGGTTGCCTCCTGCATGCACCCCAACTGGGGCTAGGGATTGAACCGCAACCCAGGTATGTGCCCTTGACCTGCAATCGAACCAGAGACCTTCGGGTCCAAGGGCCAATGCTCTAACCACTGAGCCATGCCAGCTGGGGCAATATTCTCTATTCTTAACCTATACATTTAATTCTGGATGAAAGAACAATCATTGAAGCCCAAGATCCTGGTTTGCATTTATTTACATGTTGTTTTAACGTTTTTTAGATATAATTCAGAGAAATCTTTTAGAATTATACTATTGAATTTTACTTTTCTAGCATCCTTTTATCAAGAATGCAAAACCTGTATCAATTTTAAGAGACCTGATCGCAGAAGCCATGGAGATCAAAGCTAAGAGGCATGAAGAACAGCAGCGAGAGCTGGACGAAGGCGAAGAAAACTCGGTTCGTAATCACTCTCAAAAGATGGGTTTTTCTTCTTCTGAGTCTTTTTCTGTAACTTTGTTTTTTCCTTTAAATATATCAATAGCACTTACTGTTTTATTATACAATGAGGTATGTTTGTTCATTAAATCTCGGGATATATTTTGTTTGCATTAAATCTTTGCTGTTTTTTTCTGATGTCTTAAGAATGAGTGATTGTGGAATGTAAGGTTTACAGAGTATCTGGAACACCACAGTAGAAGGTGGGTTAGTAGCGAAAGCAGGGGGGCATTTAAGGATCTAGTTTATTCCAGTTACTTTATACTGATGCGTCAGTGCGTTTTAATAACAAAATAAAATAATTTTATCTATCACATTTTATGATGTGTGACACGTCTGTTTTCCACTAACCTTTTTTCTTGTTTCACATTATAATTTTTTTCTGGTTAAAGATACAGAAATGAATGCCTCTTGGTATTCAGATAGTCACAAAATCTGAAAACATATTATTATTTTTATTTTTACTGATTGAAAATGTCTTTGATAACATCATCTATATTTTTCCATAGAAGTTTACAAATTGAAATTCTTTAAAGAATTGATCGCTTGTTTTCTCTTTTCCCCCAAAATTCTAAAAATCCCTACTTATGACTATGTAAACATGTTAACATGTTGTGATTACATATTCTTTTTGTGGTTTCTGGAACTCATAATTTTCTCAGCTTTCTTACTGTTGTTTTTTGTTGTTACTTTTTCTTTGTACCTATTACTGATTTGTTCTCAAATGCTGCATTCCCACATTCTTTGCAGGATCTGCAACCCTGACCAAACAAACCTACTGGTGTCGTGCTTTGTCCTTAATTGTTCTCAGCCCCTCCCCTCTGACCTGAACCGAGGCTCCCTGGTTTTACTTCCGTGTTTTTATGGATTGTATCTCCCAGGAGCTTCCTGACATGAGCAGTTTTTTTGCAGACCTTCCATTTCTGACTATGTCTCAATTCTACCTTTACTGTTGACTGAGTATAAAATTCTCGTTGTCAGAGGAGAGGGGGGTTAGGGGACTGGGTGAAAAAGCTGAATGAAGAGGCTAAGAAGTACTAATTGGTAGTCACAAAATAGTCATGGGGATGTAAAGTACAGCATAGGGGATATAGTCAACAATATTGCAATAACTATGGTGCCAGGTGGGTACTGGAACTATCAGGGGGAGCACTGTGTACAGTAAGTGATTGTCTAACCATGATGCTGTACGCCTGACACCAGTACATAACAATATTAGAAGTAGACTAGTGGAAAAATAAAAAATAAAATAATATTAAGAAAAAAATTTTGGATATAAAGTTCTGCATTGGAAATAATGTTCCCTTAACATTTTGGTCTATTTCCTAACTTAGCAGTGATGGTGATGACAAGACATGATATTCTCATGCCCAGTCCTTTTAATCCTCTATGGAAGTTTTTTAGATCTTCACTTTCTCCCTGTTGTTTAAAAACTTTCTCCATGTTATTTCATGATAATGTGCCTTGGTGTAGATCTTTTTCCAATTTCAGTTTGGAAATAACCTTTAGTTTTGTGCAATTTTATTTTTGCTATTGATTAATAATTTTCTCTCTCTGGGGCTCCTTTTATTTGATTGTTGGACCTCTTAGATTTATCTTTCAATGACTTCTTTTTTTCTTTCTCTTTTTGTTTTTTTCTTGGAGGTCTTCTCAAGTTTATCTTCTAACCTTCCTATTTTTTTCATATGAAATATTTAATTTCCAGACCCCCTGCTCTCCCACATTGTCGTTGTCATCACCTTGGCCCTCCTTCGCTCCCTTCCTTCTCTCGGCTTCCTTCCTGTGTGTGTGTTTTGGTCTCTGACTGTCCACTTGATGGGTCTTCTTCAGACATCTAGTGATTGGATCTGGGGGGAGCACTGGAGCTGCCTCCTAGAAACCCTTTGTTAAAGAGAAGGGCTACTTGACTTGGAACCTCGCTGCACCGGATGTTATCACTTGCCGCTTCGCAGCCTGAATTTGCTTGCCAGTTACAGAGCCAGCTGGTCACTGGACCACTGAAAAATTCCATAAAGTTAAAATTTGAAATAATGTAGATTAATTTTCCCCCTGATTTCGAAAGTCTAGATCTGTGAAATTCACCATATTGAGTTGCTGCGTTATAAGAAATTTATATTTGATATTCAGTATTAATTCTTGAGCCCATTGTAGGTCTTGCTTTTTCCATTTTGAGAGTGTAATTTTCAGAGAATTTGTAGGTTATACCAATATCAACTTATAATTTTTCCAAATTTAATTTAATTCTACATAGTTCAGCTTATTAAAGTTGGAGAAAAATTTGTGACCTAAAATTAAATTGACATTTCCATCAACTCTCAATGTGACTTTTGAAAAGAAAACCCTTTATGATAACCATTTCCAGATCCGTTGTTTTTTAAAAAATTTAGTGCTATACACCTGTGTCCTGGGTAACTATTATAAACAAACCTCTCCAAATATTTTTTTACTCAAGAAAAGTAGAGGACATGATTGGGAATAGTGCCTTATGAATTTGATTTTTATACCTATTACAGAAAAAGCTTGTCTGGTGAGAATACATCTTGACAAACTAACATGTTTTGATAGGTGCTGAGGTAATTGTACAGACTTTTAAAATTAAACAAATTGCAAACAGAGATTTCTGCAGCAGGTTAATCCCAGTATCAAGGCTTTTGAGTTAGTTTAAGCATTGCTAAGCATGACAAAGGTCGTCTTTTTTTGGCATTTCTGAGCATGTGATATAAATTTTGTGCTGAGATGGGTCAACTGTATTACATAGTAAGAAAGAATTTGTTTCCTGGATATTAGTGGAAGATATTCCCAAATTTTTATTGTGAGTCAAGTAACATAACTATTATTTGTTCAGATTTACTGTAAATACCCAAATTGCCTATAGAAAGTCCACTTTTTAAAGAGTATCTACTAACAGAGTTGGTCTACTCAATGCAACTTTGAAGTACAATTTCGTTGTTTACCAAGGAGCATTCATAGTTCCATATAAAGCAAATCTGTGAGTTCTTCCTTTAATATAAGATTTTTAAAAATAGTATCTAAGAAAGGATGCTTTTTTAACATTAGGATATGCTTCAGGCCATCCTTTTTTTAAGGGAAAAAAAGCATATGCATATTGAAATTTACTAACTACTTTCTAAATATTTTATTCTGAATGAGATTCTAACCAATTTTCTGGTTAAATAATGGATTCCAGAGTTCTGTTCTCTCAATACAGTCAGTTGTATACATGAATCACTTAAAGTCTGTATACTTTAGTTACCTCTAATGGGAAAATTATTCCTTGGGATGTGCGATACTTAATAGAATATGTAGAATATTCAGCAAATGGCTAGATGATTTGATCTTTCTCTTTGCACATTTGACACACCTGGGTGTTTCTAGAGGGGAAAAACCAACAGTGTTTGTTTTTTTACCGTGAGAAATTTCTGATTTAATTGATACAGGCATCAGAATTTTTAAAAATCTCCCTTAGCTGATTGTAATGTGGATGAAAACCAGTGACCTGTAGGTTCTAGCATTGGGCTTCATGACATAAACATTTATTCTGAATAAAAATTAATTCAGTAAATATTTATTCTAATTAGAAAGTTAAGGATTTTCTTCATTTTCTTTTTCTAAATTAACTTACAATTTTTGAATAGTTTTAGATTTACAGAATTACAAAAATAATAGATTCCATATACCCCACATTCAGTTTCTGCTTGCTATTAATAACGATCACAATGGATCCAAAAAGGAGTAAGAGAAAAAGGGTAAAAAAAAGAAATTGTTTTCAAAGACAAGTTAGCCTTTAGTTATATTTGTCCTAGGAACGTAAGCTTATAATTGTAAATCTTTTTATGTAAAAGCAGCTTAGAATGCAGTGATAAAGTAATATAAATATTTGATATTTCCTATTATTGAATAGACAGCATGCCCCTAGAAACATAAATATTGCTTATTTAAAAATATAACTTACATACGACATGGCAGTGGCGATGGTATTTTTAAATATATCAGGGTTGTTTGAAATCCTTGCCCGAGGATATGTTGATTGATTTTTTTTTAGAGAGAGGAAGGGGGAAGAGAGAGAAAGAGAGACGTCAGTGTGAGAGCAGCATTGATCGGGTGCCTCCCGTGTGCACCCCGACCTAGGTATGTATGTGCCCTGACCGGGAATTGAACCCGCAGCCTTTTGGTGTACGAGACAACACTCCAACCAGCTGAGCCACCTGGCCAGGGCTAAATATAGCAGTTTTTTAAAAAGTCAGTGTCCACTAGCACATTTCTGAAAGGTGTTGGTAATATGTTAGTAAATGTAATATTACCTGTTTTATGAACCTGTTTTATTGATATGTCTCCAATTGATTTGTTCTAGTCTTTTGTCTTTGGTGCCCTCTTGTGGATTTTTTATAAACTTCTTGTAACAACACAGTTTTTTAAAGGTGTTAACTTTTATTGTAAAATATTTGATTTCTGTAATCTTTATATTTTGTTAATCCTTTGACACGCCTTTGGCTGTGAGAGAAAAAAGAAAAGCCATGGTTAAGGCTGCTTTTACTTTTAATGTACTCTGTTGTATATCAGCATTGTGCACATGAGGTGTAAGATAATCTTATGTGTGGAAACTTTTAATATGATGCCAAGAACTTGTGCAGTCTTGCTTCATGGAGCCTCTGAAGTCCTGCCCACACGCCTTCTCACCATTTAGGCTTGTTGTACTGATGAACATGTCTTTTATGACTTCTGGAGATCCCGAAAGCTTTGATGTAACTTTGAAACATGCCTGTGAACATGCAAAAAAGTTAGGATCTGTGAAAGCAGAAATTTCTGTTGGTTAGGGGCAGGTATGTGAAAGACAGCGCTGTGCAAGCGCTCGTGCCACTTGCCGTGAAGTGGAAGGACCACCTACTTATTGCAATGAGAAGGAAATTCATCCTTTGTACAGATTTCCAGATACTGCAAATCTTAGTAATTTTTAATTGGTG